TGTTTTGTTTTGTTTTTTAGTCTATTGTAGGCTTTTGGCTTGTTACCATGAAGATCATATACATTGGCTTACATATGTAGTAGTCTATTTTAAGCTGATGGTTGCTTAATTTCAAATGAGTTTTTGTGTCCCACATTTTTACTCCCCACACTGTGCTTTGTTTTTGACTTATTTTACTTTGTTTTGTTTACCCCTTAACTACTTATTATAGAGTTGGTTTTACTTATCTTATAACTTTTATAGTAACTTTTCAAGTGGCTAATTTACTACTTTTACTATATATTTGGTTTTACCACTGAGATTTTTTTCTTTCATATATTTTATAATTTCTAGTTATAGCCTTTTTTATTTAAAGAAGACACTTTAACATTTCTGGTAAGGCCAGTTTAGAGTTATTTATGAGCTATGTTAGCTTTTGTTTTTCTAGGAAACTCTTTAGCCCACCTTAAATTCTGAATGATTACCTTGCCAGGTAGAATATTCTCGATTGTAAGATTGTCTCTTTCAGCACTTTAAATGTAGTACACCCCTCCATTTGCACCTGCAACATTTTTGCTGACAGATCAACTGGTGCTCTTATGAGGTTTCCCTTGTATGCAACGGTTTGTTTTTCTCCTGTATTAAGATTTTAACTTCTGCCATTTTTTTTTTTTAGTAATATGTCTTGGTTTGGATCTCTTTGGATTCTTCCTGTTTGGGACTGTGTTATCTGAACCCAGCTGTCTGCTTCCTTCCCCAAGTTAGCAAACTTTTCACCCATTATTTCTTCAAAAAAGGTTTTTGCCCCATTTATCTCTTCTTCTGCTGGGAGCAATATAATGCAAATGTTAGTATGCTAGATGTTGTGTCCCAGAGGTCTCAAACTATTGTCATTTTTAAAGTTTTTTTCTTTTTGGTCTTCTCACTGGGTAATTTCCACTATTCTCTCTTCTAGATTACTGACCTGTTTTGTGTCATCTAATCTGTGGGTGATTTCCTCTGGTGTATTTTTCAGTTCAGTTATTATAATCTCCAACTTTGTGACTTCTGGTTGGTACTTTGTTATATTTTCTAACTCTTTGTTGAAGTTTTCACTTTATTCTTCCATTCTTCATTGGAGTTGTATGAGCTTCATTATGACCATTACTTTGAACTCTTTATCAGGAAAAATCCTTATCTCTGTTTCATTAGGGTTTTGGTGGGGGATGTAGTATCTTGTTCTTTTGTTCATCACATAACTCCTTGGTCTAGTGTTTGTTTATTTTTTTAAAACTGTGTTGTATCTGTGAATTATGGAGAACACCTACCTCTCCAAATCCTGAGTCCCCTTGCATTGGAGCATCCCCTTTGGAGACTACATGTGCCTAGTGGTTTGGCTGACCAGCTAGAACTGAATCAGGTGCAGACTGGAGGGTTCCAGGGTATATTGCTCCAAGGCCACCCTACTCCTGGCTGGAGTAGAAATGAACCACAAGGACACAAGATGCTGTGAACCAGATCAGCCTTTAGCAAGACAGTTGGAATGGAATCATTCATGGGCTGGGGTTCTCAGAGCATCTCCCCTACAGGGTTGTCCTGGAGGGATGGCTGGAACTGAAGCAGAAGTGTGCCTTCTTTGCTTCCCACCCTGGAAGGATGGCTGGAGTGGTGCAGGCCTGATGGGGTCCTGAGGTGCTGTGTGCTAGGGCTGTCCTGGCAGGATGGCTGGGTTGGGCACAGATCAGGGGAGACCTGGAGCACACACTGAGACCACCTTGGTAGAATGGTTGGCACTGATGTAGACTTAGGGCCTGAGGCTTGCTGAGTACCTGGACCCTGCTCCCATCTACACTATCAAGGTCAGGGGTTATATAAACAGTGATGCCTGGTGGCACCTTAGACCCCAGAGAGAGTTCAAAGAGTTCCACACTTTTTGGCGGAATCTCTAGAATTAGTAGATGGCTTTCCTTCACTTACAGTGCAGTTGCCCTTTAAATGGCTGTTTCTTTGCTGTGTCCTAGGGCAGGCGACCCCTCAGTGATACCCTCCCTAGTGCAGATCATCACATCAGGGTGGTGTTCCCATCAATACCATTTCTCCCTCTGTCCTGTCCTCTATGTCCTTCCTCTATCATCATTGTGCCAAAGCCACCCAATCAGCACTCCGTTCTTCTTCAAGAAGAACTGCTCTGTATTGAGTTGTAGAGTCTGTGTGTCCGTGGGAGGAGGGGAGTTCTGAGATTTCTTAAGCTGAAAGCAGTGAGATTTTTCATCAGTGTATTGGCACATTAAAGATCATGGCAAAGAGTACAGGTGCTGGGCCCAGGTAGGTCAGATGCTAGCCAGATTCTAAGGCTAGCCAATTTCCCTGACACCCTAAGACATAGGATTAGTATATGTTATCCAAAAAGCTCTCAAGGAAAAGTAAATCTATAGTTTCTCATCTTTTTTTCATGATTCCTCATTATATAATTTCTAGTAGTAACTAACTGGGTGAGTTTGGGCAAGTTTAATTTTATTGGTCCTAAATTCTATAAAATGTGAATATTCATAAAGACCTAACAGGTGGAGAAGAAAAATGGATTTGTATGTATAAAGGTCGACCATTTGGGGGTCTTCATCCAATGTCTGTTGAATTTAGCGCAGGAGGAGAGTTCCACGTGTACATAGGTGAGGTCCCTACAGTTTAGAGCAACAAATCTGGATCTGAGGGAAAGCTATGAAATCTAGGAGGTTTCTGGTTCCATTGGAGAGGCCTAGGCTAAGTCCACAGCCCTTACTCGACAGTGTCAGGTTTTTAAGATAAAAAAAATGAAAGTCTTCCAGTGGTGAGATCTTAAGTGCCACAATTTGAGGTCTTAATCCTGACACGACTAATGTCTTCACAACTCCCTTGGCGTCTTTGTTTTAAATTCTGGAATACACAGAAAACTGTCTTATCGACTTCCCTCCAGGAAAAGTATAGGAATGATAACATTAAAATGCTTCTGCAGACAAGCTCCCTTTTAAGACTTGTGAACTTGATAAAAAGTACACATCTTAAGTGCCACAATTTGAGGTCTTAATCCTGACACGACTAATGTCTTCACAACTCCCTTGGCGTCTTTGTTTTAAATTCTGGAATACACAGAAAACTGTCTTATCGACTTCCCTCCAGGAAAAGTATAGGAATGATAACATTAAAATGCTTCTGCAGACAAGCTCCCTTTTAAGACTTGTGAACTTGATAAAAAGTACAC